TATAGTATATTCTGTGAAGCGTTTTGAGACGTCTTGAAGATGTAATAAGGTGCTATATCAAATGCAAAGATTATTATTATTTCTATATATTATTTGTATGGAATTCATTCTCCTTGGCTCCTGCCAACATGCCTTCAGCTCCTGTTCTGACCTCAACTTCCTTGGCCTATCTCTCAAGCTCACTGAATTACTGGAAACCTTGGCATCCAGCTTGATCCTTGCTGACTTTCCTACACCACATTTGGTTCCTGACCAGGACCACTTTCCTCCATCTGCGCCACATTCGACTCTCTTACTCCAAAAAACAGCGAAAACCTCATTCATGTATTTGTCATCTTCTACCTTGATTTTTCAAATGCACTTCTTGCTGGTCTTCCAACTTTCTACAACTTTGAAACAAATCAATGCCATAAGTATTCTCAGCAACACCCAGTTCTGGGTTTGCAGCTCCTCTTTATACAGCGTGAAAAGTGAGTATTTTGTCAACACTTGGTCAAACTAACATACTTACAATAGGCTACAGTCATTCACACAGCTGGCTAGTTGTATATAGTTGGAAAGACTGCTGATGTTGAGCTTCAAAAAGATTGTTTTTTCGGAAAGTTAGTAGGAGATGATACAGAAAAGCTGACTGTATAGGTTTTGTGTGATTATTGGGAGGGGGAGGGAGGGGACACGGTTCAGGAAGCAACAGTTATGCTAAATGGCTACTGCTAAATAAAATTGCAGTATACAAGACTCGGTACATTTTAGCCAAAGATGCTTGTTACAATGGGTATGTTCTGTACTGTAGCATCAAGAAAACACTGTGCTGCTGCAATCTAAATTCAAGTTAAACAGTACGCAAACATCCCAATTGAGTTTAATGAATAAGTGACATGTGCACAATATGGATGTCAGCTGGTAGTGCACACACTTGTGGGACAGGATGCTAGTTATGGATTAATTATTTATGAACATTATTTATAATTAAATCATTTCATCTACTTTAAACATCAGAATGCCAATTCACATTATCTAACAAGGATTTTTTGAAAACAACAATGAAATTACATTTGTATAGCGCCTTTCACATTGGGAGGACGTCCCAAGGCGCTGGACAGTATCGGACCAGAGCTGGGGGTCGGGGTCGAGGAGGGTGGAAGGCGGGGGCGGGGGGGGGGAAGCAGAGAGATCGAGAGCACGGTCAAAGAGAAGGGTCTTGAGGCTGGTCTTGAAGAAGGCAAGGGAGGGGATGAGGTGGAGGGACTGCGGGATGGAATTCCAGAGGGTAGGGGCAGAGTGACAGTCGGCCCCTCCGCCAATAATGAAGCGAGCGAGACGGGGGACGTGAAGCAGGCCAGAGCCCACTGAGCGGAGGGAGTGGGCAGGATGGTAGGGGGTTAAGAGGTCGCAGAGGTAAGGGGGAGCAAGACCATGGAGTTTACTGCACTTGAACAAGTTAAAAAAGTAAGTTTTTTGGGGGCCGTCATCAGGATGTCTACACAAGTGGAATCCCATTATCATACAAAACAGAGTTCCACATATGTACGCTTATATATTCCCTGTGTCTGGAATAGAGTGTGCACTCTCTTTCTCTGTGGAATGCACCCTGCTTTGTTGGGGTCTTGGGAGTTTAATCAGATGAAACCACAAAGCTTACCATTGCCAGCACTTTCCAGCAAGCTATTTGTTTATCTGGAACCACCATATCCGAGTTATTAGTCAATGAAAACAATTTAACTGACGAAAATTCTGATATCCAACTAAAATATTAGTGGAAATCACCATTTGAAGAACCGACTCCATGTGTGTCAGGGGGCCTCCATTTGTTGCCTGAAACTGAGAGAGGGATGTTGACTGAACTGACATTTAACGATTTTCCTATTTTCCAGAAAAGCTAATGCAACTACGTAGGATTTTCATCATCTTTATTAAAGATGGAAAAGAGGCCCATTGAACGAGAACTATTGATCCTTGGCAACTGCTCACAATGCATGATTAAAAGTAAGGAGTTAGTTATGTGGGCAAATAAAGGGGCAGAGCTCTGGCCTATTACATCTTGGTACAAAATCCTTCAAAGTGGCTCTCTGAAAAGAAAAAGGGTGAGGATTATGAAACTCAAAAGCTTAGTAATGCTACATTCATCCATACCAAAGCCAATGTGAATTTGAAAGTAATTTAATTTTACATTAAATTAATTATATAGTATTCTAGAATAGTTTACAATGCTGGTGGTAGGTGGGGGGGTAGGGTAGTTGAGGGGAATGATGGCTGAACGGTGGGGTCAAAGAGGAAGGTCTGGATGCGGACCTTGAAAGAGGCGAGGAAAGGGGCAAGTCAAAGAGAATCCGAGATGGAATTCCAGAAGGTGGGGCAGATATGCTGAAAGCCTGACTTCTGTTGGTGAGTGGGAGGCAGAGGTGAAATAGACAGATACCCGCTGAGTGGAGAGAGCAATCGGGTTGGTAGGATTTGAAGAAATCGCAGGGTGGGGCAAGACCATTGAAAGATTTAAAGG